TTATTTTTTCGCTTCATTCAATATATTTTTACTATAAATTATTGTAGAAGCTTATAACAAAATTATCTTAAACGAAGCCTAAATCTTGTTTTTATAAGCAAGATAAAACTTAGGCTTAGTTTGGGATGGCTTTTTTGTTGCTTCTTAAACCAGCTTTCAAAATTTAATTTTTGTATTAAAAACATGTTTTAAGAAAGGAAGAAAGAGCCGTCCCAAACGAAACTTTAGACTTATTTTTAGGCAAAATATTATTATAGCTATGGCTAAAATAGCTTATTTCTTGATATGCTATAGATGATTAGATGTTGAGATGGGCATTAAGTACTTGAAGTTCGGTATGAACTTTTTGGGATTTCCAATAAATTTAATCACAAATTCACTCATATAATTGACCAATTAATTAAGGTGGGCTACGTAGTTTTCATTTGAATATTCAAAAAAGTTTATATTTTCCCCAAACTTGTATATCTGATTCATCAGATGTGCCACTGAGCTGTTCTGTTGATCTCATAAATTTCGTTAATATATTTTGAAAAATTATTAGTGCTTAAATCCTTTCGGCACATTCCCAGCCTTTAATTATTGATGTCGGCTGAGGAAGGACACCCAATCATGCACTGTATGTTTCATAATAGTGCTACATAAATTTTCTTAATATAAATTTAATGTATAGCTGCTCTGATTTTTTGAATGCTGAGGCAGGCGGTTATGGAACTTTGGAAGAGCTACTGGAAGCTATCACTTGGGCTCAGCTAGGCATACATAACAAGCCAGTAATTCTCTTCTTCTTCTTTTTTCTTTTTTTAATTACTATTTATGTCACAGTCATTAACAGTTGGGTTTTGAATTAATTTATGATTAAGGTTGGTTTGTTGAACATTGATGGGTACTACAATTGCTTGCTATCCTTCATCGATAAGGCAGTGGAAGAGGGATTCATTGACCCGGCTGCCCGTAATATTATCATCTCTGCACAAACATCGCATGAGTTGCTGTCCAAGCTTGAGGTATGTACGTGGACAACTTAGCGTACAAGCTTGTATAAGAATTATTACATTGCTAGTATAAATTTGAAATATTTATTATTAGTATTATTATCATTATTAGTTTTTATTTTTATTTTTTTTTTATAAATTTTGTATATATGTAATTTTAAAAAAAATTCTTCTAATGATTTTTAGCAGATAATTAAGTATTTGTGTTATTTATAAGTTCATAAAATATTATTAAGCATAGTAAGTTAACAGATTTTATGAGATGCTTCTGAAATTTCTCAACGGATATGACTACAATTTTGTTATAAATTATAAGGGTACAGAGTATGAAAAAACATTCATATATATATATTGGTTCACATATAAATTTGATGAATAATTAAATTATCATAAAAAAATAAAAGTTAATAAAATATTGGTTCACATATAAATTTTATATTATAGATTACATTAAACGGTCTCATTTTGATTTTTAAGATTATATAGACGGATGGATTTGAAAATAAAACCGAGAAGGGAAAATTTTGAAAGTTTTCTTGTTTTTTTCTGAAATAATTTTTAATTGTTTTGTTTAAAATATTTTATTAAAAAATTGTTTTAGAAAATAGTAAAGAAGTATCATAAATTTACTGTAATGAAAGGCAGAGCAAATGGGCAAACTAAAATAAAATAAATAATTATTTAAATATAAAATCATGTTTACAAAAATTGACAAGCTACAACTTGAATTTTTTTAGTATTAATTAAACATGGACCATTTAATAGTTCTTCTAATTATTTGTAAAATATGTGGGTTGATTTTTATTTATCAGTAAAATAAAAATATTTATGTCATATTAATATTTAAAATTTCAGCATGCTTTGTATGGTAGTGAATTAGTGATTGTAGCACCGTACTATCTATATTTTTTTAAATCTTAAAAATCAATTCTATAATAATAAAAATTATTTTCCTCTTTCAGGTCATAAATACTATGACCTAAGTTTGTAAAATTTAAAGAATATTATTTTATAAAATTTCAAATAATTTTTTCCTGAAAATCAGGGCCATAAATTAATAAAAAATCTATTTCATGATGTTTAATCTTTGTTTTGCTCAGTTCTGTAGTCAAATGAAGATAAGATTTTTAATTCGTAAACAAATTTAAACCAATTTATCTTTGCCTTTATAGAACTAATGAATTAAACGGTCAAATCATTCAAATTTGACTTATCACCAACAATTGCACGAAACTAAAATTATCATTCAATCAAAATATGTAAAAAAATAAATTTAAATGATAATTTTTTCTGCTACAGGAATACGAGCCCCGAGAGGTCGGCATTGCACCCAAACTTAGCTGGGAGATGGAGCAGCTGAGTCAATCTCCGAAGCTGGACATCGCTCGTTGACCCGATATGCTTATGTATATTCTTCGTTTTATTAATATTTTTAAAAAAGTTGTATATTTTAGTTGGCAACAACTGCTGCCTTTTGCCTAACTTTCCATTTACGCTTTTATTAAAAATATATATATATATATCTTTCTGCCAAGATACTGTCGACGTGGCAGCTGGTTGTTTTCCCATTGGTCGAATATCCTTGCGTAGCAAAGCTTCACTGTGCGAGTGTGGGTCCTACTATGTTGTCCTCTTCGCCGACCTCTGGGAACTTGACTTCCATGTATAAGAAGCACGGCCTACGTGTCAAACACCGATAGCCTCTATGGGGATTATGTAGACATGTATGGCATGTGTGGGTAGTTATGTTTTAATAGAGCTTTAACTTAGGGGAATGTCCGGTTGGAGGCAAAATCCCGCCAAAAAACTCGGTATTTGCTTGGTACAACTAGGTATTATTTGATATTAACGAGAAATACCGCTCTTCGAAGACCAATACCGAGTTATACTAAGCTGTACCGAGAAATACCGAGTTGTACTGAGTTTTTCTAGGAAAAACTCGGTACAACTTTTGTATAACTCGGTATTTCTAGATTTAGCTCGATATAATTCGGTATTGGGTCTGCAAATGATGGTATTCCTCGTTATTGTTTGGTATTGCTCGGTATTTGCTCGGTACAACTCATTTTTTGACGGGATTTGGCCTCTGACCGGACGTTCCTCTGCGTCCGATCGGAGGACGTAATAATTGTTCGGACATGGGTGGGGTTGTTTGTATGTTTTTTTTTTTCTGTTGAATATTTAGATCATTTAAATCAAATTTATACAATATCAGGATATATAAACTTTGATTTCAAAATATTTTGATTGGTAAGACAGAGCATCCAACCAACAAATCAAAAGGAGTTACATAATTTGTATGTATCAAGCATGCTAAGATTTTGATTTAAGATTTAACTCATCAGATTTAGGTTTTGTTACAGACAACTTTCTTACTGTTTCTTAAAACAATTTTCTAATTTCTTAACAACAAAATTGTTTTAAGGTGTAAGAAAGCTATCTCATATGAAGCCTTAGGCTCCGTTGTTTGGGATGACTTTTTTTACATCATTTAAGTATAAAAACTCTATTTTAAGAAGTAATAAAAAAGTCACCCCAAACAAAACTTTAGGCATTGTTTGTGATATCTTTCTTATTTCTTTCTAAAGCAATTTTTTATCACAAAAAGTTTGAGTTTAAAATTTTGCATACTAAAAAGATATTTTAAAAAGTAGAAAGAAAGCTATCGCTAATGAAGTCTTATGTTTTGTTTGGGAAGGCTTTTTTACTTCATCTTGCACCATCTTTTTAGTATAAAAATTAAAATTTTATATTTAAAAATTATTTTAAAAATAGTAAGAAAACCGTCTTAAATGGAGCTTTAACTTCAATTTGGTTTGAACTAAAAATTTTTATTAATGTTGAAGTCAAATTTATAGGTTATTTAATAAGTAGGGTAGCTTATTAAATGCTTTCGCACGAATAAGTAGATCGAGTGACTTCAGCCATGAAGGACTCCGCAAAGCTACTCACCAATCAAATTGCTTGCGGTCGGTGGGCTTTGGTTTTCATGGTATTTTTTTCAACGGAAAAAAATTAGCTTGGAATTTTTTATAATTCTTTTTTTTTTTTACGATGATATGAGATGAGCGTGACATATAAAAGTTTATATTCTACTTATTTTAAAATAGAATGAAGATTTTTATCATAATTGTTCATCCAAATGCACCACTAATCTTCGTGCACTGATCCTAATGGTGTTTACATAGTGTGGCTCATCTAATTAAAGAAGATAAGGAAATTGACTTGGACTTTGAATTGAACTTGAGCATGGTAAATTACTCGTGCTCGAGCACAAGCTAAGAAGTGGTTCGAAAAAATGATGTTCGTTGCTGTAGCGATTTTTTGGCGACAGTTTAAATCGCATGTAGTAATAGCAGTTCAAACAGTCTTTAATAGAAACGGTTTAAACGGCCGCTATACTCTCCTATACACAACCCTCTTCCACGAGAGTTAAATCGTGCCCTATCTAGTTCAGTGTTTTCTCTCATTGATCCTGGATTCATCCCCACGCTCACGTTGCGCAAATGCTTTATATTGAACAATAACTACGGCGGTCTGGCAGCTATTTTAAATTTTACACCAGTTAAAACTATCACTAAATCCTAAATTAAGTGCTATGAAAGATTTTTATCTTATTCCCCTTTATAATAGTTTAAAAATCAAAATATATAGTTCTTTAAATTAAATATTATATATTTATTTCAAAATTTATAAGAAAAATGAAGATAATCATAAAATTAAAAAAAATGATTTTTTTTAAGTTATTTTTAAAATTTTGAAGGTATTTTTCCTGACATTCTAACTTTAACCCTCAACATAATAATAATAATAATAATCATAAATATCTCTACGAAATATTTAGATTGGTAGCGTGGTTTTATAATTTATTAATTTTTAATCAGGATTTTAAATTTGGCATTATGATAAATAAATTAGAATCTCCGCACACAATTTTTTTTTTTTTTGGGGAAATAGCACACAATTTTTTTTTTTTCAAAGCTGCACAGAGAATTCGGCGGAGAGCACGTGGCTTGTTGGCTTTTGTGGGTGTGGATAAGGTAAGTGGTCCCTATTTCCTATGGTCTCTTAAAAGGAAGATAAAAATTAAAAAATACTCAGTAACATAATTTTCATATATATATATTTTTTATATTTATCTAATGTAGTATTCTATAGATACAATTTATAAAAAAAAAATTTTTGGTAGGGGATGGGCAAAAATGATTATGATTGATAAAATTAGGGCAAAAAATTTTTTTAAGAGGGGGCAAAATACCCAAAATATCCAAAATGTTCCAAAAAATACCCTCTAAAATTAAAAAAAAAAAATTAAGGGTGGGCATTTGCCCCCCCCTCACTTGTATGGGGATCCGCCCATGCTCATATTTGATATGAAAATGAACTATGGGTGGTATGTATGTAATATTAAAGTTTTAGGTGTTAAATATGTAAATAGAATAGTATTAAGTGATATGTATGTAAATCTCCCTTAATTTTATTGTTGTTGCATATGAAAATTATATTGCACTAATCTCAAAATAAATTAAATATTTTTTAAGCCTATACTCAAATAAATTTTGTCAAATCATCCCGACCCTATTATACATATATTCGATCTATTATTTTTCCAACCAATGCTTCGTTTGGGACGGCTTTTTTACTGCTTCTTAAAACAACTTTCTAATATAAAAATTTTAATTTTTAAACTAAAAATATATTTTTAGAATCAATAAAAAAGCCATCATAACTGAAGCCTAAATCAAATCAAATTAATCATGAAATTAAATATCTATCTTATGAACTTTTAAAAATAAAGGCACATAACATATTTTATGCCTATCTTCATCCCATGGTATAGAATGCTTCTAAATTTGTGATTTTTTTTTGCATATAGTAAGAAATAGATGAGATAATGCTGATGTCTGCTGAGTCTCTGCCTTGACTTCACAGAACAACAGATCTAGAGATGGCAAAGGACTTTTCTTTTGAAAAATTATTAGGTCCGGACACCTGACGTAGCTCTACATCCGGACGCCAATAATATGTCTCCACGTGCTCTTACTTTTTACCGCGCGGGCTGACGACCCGACTCAAACCTGAACTCGGTATTGCTCAGTTTGCGAATTGCTAGGTATTGCTCGGTATTTCTAGGTATTGCTTGACAATAATGATAAATATCACTTTTTCAAGACCAATACCTAGCAATACTGAGCAATACCTAGAAAAACCGGGGTATTGCTAGGTAATGCTCGGTATTGCTAGGTATTGCTAGGTATTGGACTTAACAGAATGGTATTTATCATTATTTCCGACCAATACCGAGCAATACCTAGCAATACCTAACAATACACAAATCAGCCGATACATAGCAATGTCGGGTCCGAGTCATCGGGCCGCGCGGTAAAGAGAAAGAGCACGTGGCGACATATTATTAGCGTCCGAATGTAGAGCTACGTCAGGCGTCCGGACCTAATAATTTTTCCTTTTCAAGGCCACCAACTGCTTCCTTTTGAACATTCTCCTTAACCTCCCTATAAAGGAGATAAATTTATTTCCTTTAAGGAAAAATGGATTAGAATTGAGTGGAAGGAAGAAAGGGTAAGGAGCCTGAGAATATTATATGTACAAGTGACCTCTCCAAGTGGTACCTAATTAATCATTGACAGTTAGTGCAGCTTATCCTCCCAAAAATTTATGTATTTATTTCTTACTAAAATATATGAAAATGGAAGATTTAAAAATATATATTGTAAATGGCATTTAAGCCTACAGACTCCCCAATATGATCATGAAAATTTAATCGAATTTGTCCGATTAAAAATAGGATTTTAAAAAAAAGTAGAAGTACAAAACGTAATCTCCGAACTCCTAAATTTTTAAGTCACGAGCGGTTGAATTAATTTGACTGAAAATTTTAATGAATAGGCAATGTTGAATGTCATTTTATTTATTTATTTGTTATTCCTTCGGCCTATATCATATTTCATGATATGCAAATATATGTTGTTCACCACCTCTGGTAGGATGTGGCTTGTTGGCAACCACTGGTGGTACGTCTTTTTTATTCTGTTTGGTGGCCTTTATTTGGGAAGTGAGGTTGTGCTTCATCTGTGCTCCTCCTCGATCTGGATGGTCCCTGCTCTCCTTCTAAGTGGTTGGAAGAAAGCCTATTGCCATTAACTGAGCCCGACTGGCTTGTATCATTCTTAATGTCTGTTGCCTTTTCTTTGCTATTTTAGTTTTGTAATTGTTGCTTTGTTCTTTGTTGGACTTATTTGTATGCTATTTTCTTTGTTGGATATATATATATATAATTTAATAATTTACATAGTTTTAATTAATTTTAATGATATGTGCATCATCATAATAGAAATCTCAGTGAAATCTAGATGAAATGTTTCCTTCCACTGATTCTCTACAAGCTTGCTTCCCAGTCAGATAAACCGGCCACTTCTTTATAATATTATATACAATGCTGTTGAGGGTATCATGTGACAACATGGGCCATGAGCAGGAAACAGAACAAGAACTTGGCAGCTTGTGTTGGGAGAACTTTGTGATCTGCTAGAAAAATGGGAGTCCTGCTTGCCTTCTGATTATTTTTATATATTGGAATTTAATCCTGCGAAGAAAGAAGAAATTTATAGTAGGATTTTTGTTTCGTCTCCCCGTCAAAATGCAAGGTCTAACGCTGGATATAGGTAAAAGATACTTTCATGGCGGAAATATTTCTGAGTGGAAGAAGGGATAGAATGTTATAAATGTCATAAGTACAGAATTTTCAAACAAAGGAAGAAGATTTTTTATAGGAAAATCTTTGAAGAAAGAAAAAAGCCAAAGAACTCAATTCAGAGGACAAACTTTCATCATTAGAAAACTGCAAAAGTATGAGATATGTTCGTTTTTTTATTGCAAGAAAGAATCAGGCAAGGGATTCAAAATAGGAAGGAATGCATTAAATGATCTTAGTTTGATAATAGAGAGACATCAAGAATGACAAGTTTTAATTTTAGGCTAACACAAAGTGCTAAGTAGAGAAGAAGCTACCCACCCATGCTTAGTTTGGTTGGTGGGCATGCTCAGTTGGAAACTCCCCATCTCGAGTTCGATTCTCGTGAGAGGCAGTTGTCCCTTCAGTGGGGGCCCCAAAGCGTCAGCTGTGGGTACAGTACTATGGGTGGCCCGGTAGGTCAGCCGGGTACAGTACTATGGCAGTAACTAACCGTGCTCGCTCACACTAACTAAGCTAAGCATCTCTGGGTATAGTTATTTTTTTATTTATTGTACTTCTGTGTTAAGAGCAATTTATTTTTTAGCTTTCAATTGATACAATTGGATATAGAATCTACTTTAGCAGAAAAAAATAAAAATAAAATTACAACTAAATGCTTAACAAAATAATCTCATTTAAATGAATAAAAAAACAAGAGAACTAATATATAATGCTTACCCCTAAAAAGACATCCCGTTTGCTTCAACTAAATTGACTCTATATATATATACACACACGCGCGCGCGCACACCCAGGCGAAATAAATCTTATTATCTCCAATATATTAAGATTTAATTCATTTGAGATAGTTTTTTTATTACTTTCTAAAAAAAAAAATTCTATTACAAAAATTTCTTGAAAGCTGTCCCAAACATAAACCTAAATAAGCTATTTTTTTCAATATAAACAATATAATTAGATTTAGGCTTTGTTTATGACAGTTTTTTTGTTCCTTTATTTTTCAGATCGTAATCATAATTTCTATATGGACACTATTTTTTTCCAAAAAATTGTGCGCTGAAAAATTGCCTTCTACAACAGCTTATAAAAATTACTTTTCTTACAGCAGCTTAAGAAAACATTAAGAAAACGACCCCAAAGGAAGCATTACGCAATTTCCATCACAATATTTGGACATGATTTTTCCTGTTGATTTGCTTCCAACAAGTTCATATTCCAAAACATTATTCATACTCTATGCAAATTGAAATCCAAATCATCCTAATTCTTTATACAGAAAAGAAAATATATCAGAATATTATGATAAAATTTATATTAAAATAGGCTTTAAAATTATTAAATTTATTTTAAAATTAATGTAATATGCACTAATCTTAAATAAATTTAATTGTTTTTTTTATAATTTTTTTGTTCTTATAAGTAATATTCACTTTAAATTCTTTTTCTTTTTTTGGGAAAAATTTAGGGCCTAGCCCATTTTCATTACAATGAATAACAAAATTACAAAGAAAGTATGAGACCCATGGCTACTCCACTGAGTAGAATACATATAAGAGCTGTTACAAAAAAACTAGCAATGCTCATTTAGACATTTACAAAAGAAATTAAGAAAGTACAACCAAGTATCCAAAAAAATTGGGTGATGCTAAGATACTAGAAAAATAAAAAGGGATTGAACATATCTGGATGTAGACGGTATCCAAAAAATATCATGGAATAATTTAGAGAGCAGCACTTGTCAGCAGAAACACCCGGTTGCTTGAGCTGAAGAAGTAGAGACAATCCAAGGTGCGAATGGAGGGGCCAAAAATAGCTGAGCATTATCATCGAGAGCACGAATAAAACAAAGAAAATCATAGCATCAAAAGTCTCCAACTACTCAAATTAGCTTAAGAAGTTTTGTTAAACAACCAAAATTTTACATTTTGAAAACTTAAAGGGTTGCGTCACATTTAACTTTCCAAATAATAGAAGTGTCTTTTAATTTGATATCCGTATTTCCTTGCATTACTCTCCCTCCAAAGATGGTAAACCATATAGAAAAGCATAAGAAAAAAATCGCTCTTAACATCAACATGTAAGGAACTGCCACCCTCAATAAAATCCAACACTTCTCTAATGTTAGTCTGCCGCATGAAGGATGAGAGCATATGCATAAGGTTGCAAAGACATTAAAAAAAATAAAAAGATAAATAACACTTCAGGAAAAGCCATACGAAGACCACATAAGGGGTTAATCTATATATTTTGTTTGATCAAAGCATCTACAATATTCAAGACCCGCTTGAGGGCCAACCATTCATAAATAGAAAACCAAAATGAATGCCTTCTGTGTCAGAGTTGTGTGTGCCATGAGAAAGATAAAGCATTAGAGTAATTAGATATGATGAGAGTCGTAATCCTTGGATTGTGCTTCTTTTCCCAAAGGCAACAATTATAAGCAACATTGTGGATGAAAAAAGGCACAATTTCCATGGAAGAGGAGAGATAAAGAATCAAGTCTTGTTGTGTAAAATTTCTTACCAAAATCTCTACCAAGTTCCTTTTCCATGGGAACATCAAAGATAGAAAGCTTCATCTTATCTCCTCGAAGGAACTTGGAAAAGGAACTTGGTAGAGATTTTGGTAAGAAATTTTA